AGCGTTAACGAAGATTCTTATAACGAAGTCCTGATCGGCTGGATCGGCAACTTCGTTATATTGAGGTGTGACTGTATATAATTTTTAAATGAAGTACACCAGAGCGATACTACTCTCATATCTCATGATAAAGTAGATATTCAGATTTATAAGTATAGGGGCGTCATCAAAGATGTTGCAACTAGGTATTGTTGTAGTTTTGCATTGACTGATAAAACAGCTACACAGATGGCTAGAGCGATTCAGAAAATCTATGATGATCCTAATAACCCTCTTAGCTATCCAAATACTTTTATTGTAGATAGAGGCACTGAATATATGGGTGAATGTAAAGATTTATTGCTTAGCTATGATGTTAAAATTCAGTATGCTAACTCTAAACGTGGTGTAGCTATTGCTGAACATGACCATCAAGAATTTGAAAAACATGCTTATTTTTGGCAAGATGCTGAAGATTTTCATTTGCCTTTGACTGATAGATCTAGGGCATGATTTAAAGAACTTCATATAAATGATAATATTTTCAATAATACTCCTACTCTATTAATATGTATATCTCCTAACGAGGCTGTAAAAAAGGCATTAAAAGGTAAAAAAATAATAGCTAGACCTTTTGTCGAACATAGGAGACCAGTTGATTATAACGAAACACTTTTACCTAGCTATACTAAAGTTCAGCATCTATTAGAACCTGGTGAATTAGAAGGTGGGAGAAGAAGGACAACTGATTGCAATTGGTCTCCTGAAGTTTTTACAATTGATTCTTATTTGATAAAAGAAAATCAGCCTATTCTCTACAAGCTTTACAAGGGTCCTAGACGCTCATTTGTAAGAGAAGAACTCCAAATTGTAAAAGATGCGCAATTACCCCCTCAATGGATACTCAATAATTAGATTTTAAATATTTAGATAGAGGATACAAAGTTCCCTCTAAAAAAAATGAGACGCAAATTGACATTAATTGATGCTCAAAATATTGCTTTAGAAAAAGGTGGACAATGTCTTTCTGAATATTATATCAATAATAAAAGTCCTTTACATTGGAAATGTGCCAAGTTTTACGAATGGAAGTCTGCTTTATGTGATATAAAAAGAGGTAGATAGTGCCCACATTGTGCAAAGTGTTTTAAACTTAATATTAGTATTACTAAAGAAATTGCGTTTAAAAAAGGTAGTATTTGTCTTTCTGAAAAATATATAAATAGCTATACACCACTTTTCTGGCAGTGCACAAAAAAAACATGAATGGCAAGCTTCTTTAGAAAGAATAAGAAATCATAATTCTTGGTGTCCTAAATGTATAATAGATACTTGAAGAGTTGGTTTAGATTTAGCTAAAAATATAGCTCGATCTAAGAATGGCAAATGTTTATCGGATGAGTATATTAATAATCATACTTCATTACAATGGAAATGTCATCAAGGACATATTTGGCATGCAGTTTTAAATACAATAAAAAATCGAAATTCATGGTGTCCTCGATGTGCAGGATGTTCTAAACTTAATATTGATATTGTTAAAGAAATTGCTCTTAAAAAAGGTGGAAAATGTTTATCAGAAAAATATATTGATATAAACTCTTCGCTTTTATGGGAATGTAACGAGGGCCATCAATGGTATACAAATCTTAAATGTGTAAGAAATTTGGATACATGATGTCCTCACTGTTCAGGTAATGCAAAACTTTCCATTGAAGAAGCTAGAAGAACTGCGACTAAGAATAAAGGATTATGTCTTTCTGAAACGTATAATGGTGCGCATACAAAATTAAAATGGCAGTGTGAAAAAAAGCATAAATGGTATGCAACCCTGGATAAAGAGAAAAATTTAGGTACATGGTGTCCATTTTGTCCATGGAAGAGACAAGAACTCTGTAAGGAAATTGCAACGAAATTATTAGGCCCACCATCTGATATTCGTAGACCAAATTTCTTAAAAACGCCCGATCATCTGTTAGGACTTGAACTTGATATATACTATCCACAATATGCTTTTGCTATCGAAGTTCAAGGTATACAACATGAATGCTTCCATGCTTTCTTCCATAAAAACCAAAAGGATTTCGAAAAGCAGTTTGCACGAGATCAGCTAAAAAAAAGAACTGTGAGATAAAAATCGGATATTACTTATCGAAATATGGTATCATGAAGACCCTTATATAGTGATCCCTCGATAACTTAAAGAGCTTGGTCTTATTTTTTAACTGGTACTGTTCAATTATATATTTTCCTTGGACAAATTGCGATTTTCTAATTTTGAATCTATTGGGATAAAGTAGTATTTTTTGTGGTTATGTGAAGAAAAGCTCGCCTCAAATTATTTCGTGTAACCTTGCTCTTGCGTAACCTTAATCTGATTAACTTAAAATGATGAAAAATACAATCAAGATGATATTATCTTCTTCTTCAAAAATGATCAATCGAATGTTGTCCCTAAAAAGAAATTTTCAGAGCGTAAAAAAGACCTCGGAAGAGGAAAAGTAAGTGAACATCACAGATGGATTAAGTTCTGCCTAGTATTGACACGTATGATAGTTTGCCTATACAGATAGGCTGGGAATTGTCAGTGGAAAAAATCGATACTTTCTTTGAACGCCAAGATACACGCGGATATAAATTTGATATCGATCCAAGAGGAAACGTATTTATAGTTGAAATGGAAAAAAATAAGCACGCGTCAGTTATCGATCTGCTTCAAAGTTATTTTAGAGTTCCTAACGGAGGTGTTATTGTTAACCCTCCATTGAACATTATGGTTAATTCAGGTAAGAAAAATTCCTTTGGGTTGCTTAGGCTTGTTTTCAGTTTTTATAATCTCTCATGTTCTATAATAGCTCACTATCGACCACGTGGAAGAGGAAGACCGGCATCAGCTGATATTGCTATATACCCAAGTTTGTCCTTTATTCCGAAGCCTCCAACTCCAACTCCACCTCCACCTCCACAACGTGGACTAAGAATTCCTAGAGCTCCTCGTAGACCTTCCCGACATCGTGAAATTCCTCCAGTTGATAAAACAGTTGGTTCTGTCATATCAGATTTTGTTCCTAATTTTCCCTAGTCTTATCGTAAATTAATTATATAGGGAAGACCCCACGCACGAATAATGTGCGAAATTGCAGTGTCCCAAAAGTATGATGGCCGGAAAGGTTGGAATGCAAAGTGTTGTCGTTGGATGCGACAGGAATACGTAAGATGTGTATTCGGAGTTAAAATTTATAATCCAAGAGCTACAAGAAATACGAACGGACAGTTTGATCGGTGTATGATTGTACGTGTTACACAGCCTACTTATTATTAATGGTTTCGAAATTTTTAATTTTTTCTATTTCTGATCTTAGGCCAGACTCTGGACACGTCATGCAACACCAATACCAGGAACACACATAGCAGTACCAGGACAGTCAGGAGTATATTATGAAGAAGTAAGATTAACACGCCATTGATGTTCTTGCAATCAATTTAAATGGCAAATATCTAATATATAATATAAACTTACCAAATTTTTATAGTGGAATTTCGGTACTCTCGATTATTACAATACAAATAATCCTACCACTTGCACAGGACCAAATCTTGCTAATTATCTAGTTAATATCCCAACTCAAGATGTATTTTGGAATCCGCGGGTCGTTAGAGGAGTTCCTAATCTAACTAGATATACCATCACAGTCCCTGGCGGAGTTACTGCCAATAATTTTGTTATAGATTTATACCAAATACAACAGGTGGTTTTACAAAATCAGGAGAATTAGAAAATATATAATAAATTATTGTCCAAGTTAAGGGGAAAAATCACTTTAGATAGCACTTTTATATTTTTTTTTGTAAAAACTTTATTATAATAATCTTTTTGATACAGAATAATAGCATATAATAAAAATTTGTATCAT